AGAGTTTTTAATATTTTTCCTCATACACATTATCTCATGCAATATCTCTTTTATACAATACCTCACAGGATATCCTAATTATTTGTTTACTATTTCTCTAGCTGGAATGAGTTCCCAGAAGGTAGGAAAAGAGTCTGATTCATTTTTGATCCCCTAGCGTCTAGTACAATACCTAGCACACAGGAGACACTCATTACATGCTTGATAAATGCGTGACAGACCTGGTTAGAGTCATAAAATATCAATCAGGGTTGATACTGAAATAATCCCTGACAGTTTCCATGAGAAAGTGGGGAGAAATGTTTACTAAACAAACATGTATCTGGGGAGAGAACATTCCTCCCTCGGGCAGAGCATCTCCAATTCCAGTGTGACTGTTAAGTCATGTACCAACTGAAGATGGATTTGATCTCATTACTGAACAAGATCCAAGTTAAGAAAAACAAGTTCTCAATAAAAGCTCCTAACTAGGTCATTCTGTTTATAAAATCAGACATTACCACATGAATATTAAAATAAGTATTGTTCAGAATAGTAGTAATTTGCTTTGTTATTTATTTCAATATAACAAATAATTACCACACCTGAGGCATATGGAGCTTTTTGAAACTACAATTTTTAAGTATTCCACAAAAGGAATGAGTAGACATAGGTAAAATAATCAATGGTACTTTAAGAAGTACTAATTCCTCTAAGAAGGAGCTCTGCTAGTGTAGTGGTTATGAGTCAGTCTGCTAACCTCAAGGTCAGCAGTTCCAAACTACCAGTTGTTCCACGGGAGAAAGATGAGGCTTTTTGATCCCATAAAGATTTACAGCCTCGGAAACACTGTACAGGGTCGCTATGGGCTGGAACCGACTCCACGGGACATAACCACCACCACCGCCAGTTCCTATAAGCTAGAAACTCACTTCTACTACACAAACAACCCGATATAGATGGAGACTATATCTCAATACTGTTGCATATTCCCATTACGTATAGTTCTTTCCATAAACTATTCCAAATACCCACTTAGGCTCACCTGCTTTCTTAGAAACACATGATTATTATTACCTTTCTAATGGTGTTTTCGTTTTGAGGTCATATTTCACAAAGAAAACACACGAAGCATCATAGTGTCTGTGTAATGAAGTAAATAACAATAAGCAGCAAATTTAAAGCTAGAAGGGAGACTTAAGTATGCTGCTGCTTACCAGATGGGCTGGCCAAAAGCCACACAGAAATTGAGTCTTTCGAGGTTTAGGAGACTAGAAGTCCAAATTCAGGTTGCCAGTTCTAGGGAGAAGGCTTTTTGTCTCTGTGGGCTCTGGAGGAAGGTCTTTGTCGCTTCTAAGCTTCTGTTTCTGTGGTATGGAGTCCTGGGGTGGTGCTGTGGGGTTAATGCGTCAGACTGAAAAGCCGTTTGAACTGCAAGGTTGGCGGTTCAAGCTCACCAGCGGCTCCTCGGAAACCCTGTATAGGGTCGCTATGGGTCAGAACCGACTCGACAACACTTAACAACAACTTGTGGTATGGCTGTTACAGCACCACTTAAACTCAAATCAACAAACAAACGGAAAGCGAACCCAAGTTCAAATGTTCAACCATAATTTCAGATTGCCCAAGTAGGCTGATGAATTTTTTTAAATTCAAGGTACTACTAAAAGCCTAAACATATCCTAAGACATGTCATTTTAGAATCTGGCAGCACATAAAATGTAAACTGCCAAGTTGATAACATAGAATAATTTTTTACTCGTTCATGGACATTATTTGTACCTAAGTGTACAAACAGATTATAACTAAAGTAAAGGTATGCCTTTTTCTCACAAATAACTCACCATATCTATGCAATATGTAATGAAATGAAAATGGATTAACAGTTACTGATTGACTACTGTAACTGATTCCATTTATTTAAGTGTACCCTCATCATACAACAGCTTCATATTTGAAGAGTTATGTGCAACAAATTCTTTGGATTTGTAGAGTGCTTTTGATTTTGTAAAATGTCTCAGCTTTTGAGCCATTCACCCTTAAAATCATGTAGGCTGGGATTCCAAAAATGTTTATCCAATTATGCTGCTTCTGTCAATACTTAGGAGAGATAGCTATTATTCCATAAAAAATTTTCTGAAACATCCAACAAACTAAAAAACCCAGACACAAGTCAGGCTGCTTGGGTTTTGGAGAGGTGAAAGTAGTTACTCTTTCAACTCTCCATAACTCTACTACACTGAAAATTTAATTTTAAAGACGCAAAATCACAGAAAAAACAGTGTGATATAAATATGGAAATGAGTTAGAAAAAAGGAATGGAAGGTTCTGAACTGAATTATGTTCCTCTAAAAGATAGGTGGAAGTCTTAAACCCAAGTACCTGTGAATGTGACTCTGCTTGGAAATAAGGTCTTTGAAGATACTGTCAGTTAACCTGAGGTCATACTGGAGTAGAGTGAGACCTAATCCAGTCTGACTGGGGTCCTTATAAAAGGACACACAGAGGGAAGATCACCCTGTGACACTGCAGCTGCATACCAAGAAACACCTGGGACCAGCAGAAGCTGACAGGGACAAGGTCTTTCCTGTAGTCTGGAGAGACAGTACAGTCCTGTTGACAACCTGCAAAATGGTTCTGTCATTTTAAGTCACCCACTTTGTAGTACTTTCTTATTGCAGTCTCAGGAAACTAATGCAGAGAGGGAGAAATCAAACTATATTCTCAGACAGCATAATTATGTATATAGAAAATCCCAAAGAATTTACCAAGAAGCTACTAGAATATGTAAATTTGAAGTCACAAGATACAAAAGATTATATATAATAATTTCTATACTGGGAAAGACAACTGAAAAGCAAAAAAATTTAAATTCCATTTACAATCATATCCCAAAACAGGTAATACTTAAATTTAACATCATTTGCACAAGACCTGAATGCTACAAAACTGTAAAATGCTACTGAGAGAATGGAAGACCTCAATAAATACAAAAACATACTATGCTTCTGGATTAGAAGACTCACGTTAATGAAAACATATTGACATTTCTCCCCAAATTGATCTATAGAATCATTGTAACTCTACTTAAAATCAGACAGCCTTTCTATAATCTGATTGTAAAATTTGTAAGGAAATACAGAGAACACAGAAAAGTCAAAACAATTTTGAAAATGTAGAGTTTACACTACCTGATCTCAAAACTTACTATAAAGTTAAAGTATTCGAAACTACTAACTTAAGGATAGATCTATAGGAACAATGGAACAGAACATATATGATCAATTGATTTTCAACGAAACAGTCAACATAATTTAACATTACAACTGTTTCTCCTTGAGCACGTTATCCCTTAAAATATTCTGCACTGCACAACTCTTTTTATGGCAGAATTTATCAAATACAAAAAGAACTACTACCCACACTAGGAATGGCTATAAACTAAATATAGTCTAGGAAAAGACTGCCCCCTAGTGTCGACATTCAATAACAGTCAACAGAGTAAGAAAGAACACACTAGAGAAGCACCGAGGCTCCTAAAAAGGTCTTGATCTTTCAGTTTTCTGATTCTAACAGCTTATACTTAAAGTGATGAAGTTTAAAGATAAATAAATTAAGCAGCCATATTAGGTTCATACAAACATGATAAATTTATGACATTTAGCAGCAAATACCAGTGTAATTCCCTAGCAATTACTTATCATGGATACTACTTGTTCAAGTGCTTAGAAGCTGCGTTCACAGAGATAAGCAATTTTCCATTCCTTAAACTCTGCAAAAGACAGAATAAATATTAACGAAACCAGTACATATTATTTTGTGACCATGTTAGTCCAAAATTTAGAAAACAGATGATGCAGGCTTGAGTATGGTGGTTTATTTAAAAACGTATCTACAAGGGGGCTTTAAAAAGTTCGTGGAAAAATGGAATTACAAGATAATGGAATTTTTCTAAGAACTTTTTGAAGCCTCCTCATATGTAAATATTTCATTCAAATTTTCACACATTTTATCCTGAATACTGGAAAAATCAGGTATTTTCTTTGGATTTTATGTGTGGACTTACCATTCATAAAATTCTTGATATATATAATGGCACAAGGTCATTCAAAGAAAAGTCATTATCATTACTATTACTAATAACTTCATGTAACGGATAAATGCACTTCAACAATAGACTTGCTAAAGAACACTTCGCTGTTGTTGTGTGTCATCTCGTAACAACCCTACATAGGGTTTCCAAAACTGGCTGCTAAGTTTGAACTGCCAACCTTGTGGTTAACAATCCATTGCTTATCCTACAGCATCACACCAGGGTTCAAAGGCATTCTGAACAACAAAAAGCATTAAGGCAATAAAAAACATTAAAGGGAACAATTAAGTGATGTCAATATAGAATATATATATTGCATAGCATAGCATCTTTCCTAACTATGATTCGAACAGCTGTAATTTCAGTTCTGGACTCCTGGTGTGGCACTGTAAGAGCAGCATTGGGCTGTAGTTCAAACCTACCAGTTGCTCCTTGGAAGCCCTACACAGGGTAGCTATGAGTCGGCATTTAACAACAACAATTCCATTTCTATTATATAGGGTCAATGTTGTTGTTGTGAAGTGCCGTCGAGTCAGTTCCGACCCACAGTGACCCTGTATAGGGTTTCCAAGAAGCAGCTGGTGAGCTTGAACTGCAAACCCTGCAGTTGAAACAGCTTTGTAGTCTGGCGCATTAACCCACAGCGCCACACCAGGACTCCAAATGGGTCACTAGGATAATTAAATGAAATGCTGCTGTTGATGTTTAATGCCGTTGAGTTGTTTCCTCATGGCAAATCTGCATAGGGTTTCTGTGGAGTCACTGGTGGGTTTGAACTGCCAACTTTGCAGTTAGCAGTCCAGTGCTTATTCTACAGCACAATTAGCAATGATAAATCATTTAATATTATAAATATCATATAAATGCTTGTTAAGTAAGGAGAAGAATACAGAAAACTACATAGTATGCACACATTCAAAATACCTACTTTCGAAGGTGGTCATGTTCTTTCAAAAACAGTTCAGTTCTTCTATTGTTTACACCAGACCCACTTTTATATGACCTAGGACAAAATTTAAGAGAAAATTTAAGAACATTTTTGGCAGACTCCACAAAAGCAAATGAAGTGACTGACACTAGTGATATCCAAAGCAGACAAATTGAGCCTCCTCACAGTTCTGAAGGAACAATGTTTAAACCCTTCCCATCACTTCTTAAAAATGTCATCTGTTACAGATAAATATAAATGCCTCTCTAATTTAGACATAAAAGTTACTTACCTATGTTTTCAGAAAAACAACCCAATACTCTTAAATCAAGAAAAAAAAAACCAAACCCTTACTTGTACAACAATTGGTCTCTATTCACTTGGAGTGACAGACAGGAAAGTCAGGAATAGGAGAATATGCAATATGTGGCATATTGCCTCTGTGACCAATTAACTGCCAACTTTGTCATGAGACCAGAAGAACTGATGGTGCCTAGCTACCATTGCTAAACATTTTGATCAAGGATTCCACAGAAGAATCCTGATCAATAGGGTGGAAAATGCAGAAAAAAACTTGAAATTTTCTTGGATTGCAGACATTATGGAATCATAGAGGGTGATGAACCCCTGAAACTTCCTGGGGTAATCTTTAAATGTTAAACCAAAATATACCCTAAAGTCATCTTAAAATTAAACAAAATTTAACTAGTAAAAAAAAAAAGATGATTCTCTTTTAAGAACTATCTAAAAGGATCAAATTAACAACAATCAACTCAAATGATTAGATAAGGATTTATCTAATGTCAATGTGGGAGGAACAATTCAGAAAAAGAAGGTAAGAATAGTTGAGGCTTCCTGCGGAGCCTCTGCAATACATAAAACTATAGGTAGAAACCAGAACCACATCCAGATCACCAGAGATGAGAAATCTCCACTTGAAAGGACAAGCTGACCAGCCTGGAGCGGTGAGAAGAACAAAAAATAAGTCTCGAATGAAAGACAGGAAAAATACAAAACAATGGAGGCAGATGGACTGTTACTACAGGAACAAACGGGTTGCTTCCCTAGGAGACAATGGGGCAGTTGGTCGGGCCCTACCAACGCAGGACCCCTTCCAAGACTGAGACTCGGTGGAAATGCACGCTCAGATTGGTGACCACACGCATCACCGATGGGGAGAAGTGGGGTAAAGGCAGCAACGAAGCGGCGAGCTAAGCCTTACAATGTTCAGTGGGTCTCTGTGGTCCCGGTTGGGGACCTGGTTGGCAAACAGTGTGAGGAGACCTGAGGACTCCTGGGCCCAGAGACAGTGACATGGCCACGGAGGACTCAAGTGGAGAATGGAGCTGCCGGCTGATGGGAAGAGAGGGCATGTGCACAAGAACACCCA